TTTGATTATTTCCGGCTCGATCACAATAAAATATTTATTTGACAAAAATAATAATTTACTAAATAAATATGTAGAAAACATTTGTCTAAAACATACGAAGGCCTTCGAATTTAATTTGTGATCAACCATAATCAAAACTAAATAAATACAAAAAGCACTGATGCAAATTTTGAGAATATAGACCTCTAACTATTAATTACATAACTAACTAAAGTGCCGATCTAAGGATCCCGAGGTATCCGCCGAACAAATCAAAGTAATTATTAATTAATAAAAGAGTCTATAATTCTCTCATACTTGAGAGTCAAAAGCCATGACCGTGATAGAGAGCAATTCCATACGACAGCTCTCGCAATATATCTCAAACTATCGTGGACTCGGTTCAAGTCTTAATTAATTAAATGTCCATCCATAATTACCGACTTTGAACCATTTATGATTACTAATTTATAACTTAGTATTAATTGCCATTACATACATATATAAATTTATCTTGTAATCAAGTGGACACAATCAATTCGATAATGAATCGAAAAATAATACATTCCATTCACCAATTGTATAATGCTTTAATAATAATATTTAGATAAGGAACCATGACTTTTACAATCCAAAATAATAATTTGCTATGCTAGGGCACACATATCCCAACATATGTATATATTTGTTATGTGAATACTGAATATTGGTTACAGATGAGAGGGAGAGAAAGACGACAGTTGCAGATGAGAGGGAGAGGGAGACAACAAAGATCACAATAGATAGGAAGAAACGACGTCGTAGGGCATTAAAAGAGACTTGCCAAAAAATTTGGCAGCTCCTACATTTGAGAGAAAATTTAAGATTTTCAAATTTTGAGAGGCCAAATAAAAGAAATTGGAGAGCTCCTTTTTGACCCATCTCTCAAATTATGAGTTTGAGAGCCCAAAATGAGAGAGCATTGGAATTGCTCTAATACATCCTTTCTTGAAGGGCATCGTATATAAAAGATGGTGTTTTGCAGAAAACGAACTTGATTATGTAAATACCAAATATTAGGATGATGCTTAAAAGAAAAAAAAATAAAAATAAATATTGAGATGATAATTATTCGATCTATATATGCTCATCAATTAAACTCAATTTAATAAAATTTAAAGAAAAAAGAAAAGAAAGATCTCTAATTTAAAAGAATTGCTATCAAATAAAAAAAGATTTGAACTAAAAAAAACCATCGATCCTAAAATACTCCTAGTAATTAAATCAACATCATAATGATCCGATGAGAAAGGCAGGTAGTAATTATGGACTTGCTGATCCTGAGTGGGGCCAAGCGATGGTGATACCAGATTGTTAAAAATACATTAATGCCATGTTCATTGTGCATTTTTCGTTTATTCATGTATCTGTTATTGTACATGTATCAAGCGGGTGCATGTATCAAGTGTGTGGTTGAGAATTGTCTTGAAAAGTTTAAAGGCCTATTGGAGAATAGTATATATAGTGTAAGGAATTTGTTGTTAAGATATATCAACACAACAAAGAATTCAATACAATACAGAAAAATATTTGTTTCTTCATTCTTCTCCTCTCTTCACTTAGAAATTATTTAGTTGGTTGAAACTACAGCCAAAATAAGTGGTATCAGAGCTTGATTTCAATCAAGAGCAAACTGGGTGTGAAGCTTATTGACAGGAAAACAAACCCCGAAGAAAATCAATCGTGATGGCGACTACATGTAATTAAAACCAAGGTGCCCATCAATCAGCACTTCCCATATTTTTGATGGGGAAAATTATGATTTTTGGTACGTGAAGATGAAGACCATTTTTCTCTCATATGATTTATGGGATTATGTTGAAGATGAGTATGATGAACCAGAGGATACAACAACTTTGATGAATGCCCAAAGACAACAATTGAAAGATCATAAGAAGTAAGATGCAAAAGCTTTAGGCTTGATTCAACAAGGAGTTGATGATACAATTTTTCCAGAATTATCAATGCTTCTAAAGAAAATGAGGCATGGAATATCCTCGAGAAAGAGTATAGAGGCAGCACGAAAGTAAGAACTGTAAAACTCCAATCTTTGAGAAGAGATTTTGAAAATATGAAGATGAAAGAAATGGAGTTGTTGAAAGATTATTTTTCTAAACTTATGGAGGTGGTAAAACAAATGAAGACCTATGGGGAAGATATTTATAATCAAAGAATTGTTGAAAAAATTCTAATTAGTTTGCCAGAAAAATATGACCCTATTGTTGCTGTTATTGAAGAGACTAAAGATCTTGAAAACTTGAGTGTTGAAGAATTGATGGGTTCCATAAAAGCATTTGAGCAAAGGTTGAGTAGGTGCTCCGAAAAGACAATTGAAAGTGCTTTTTTATCCAAGCTCAATGTTAGTTCCAAAAATTAAGAAAAATACCCATCAAGTTTTGATCGATCCGAAGGTGAATCTTCTAGAGGTGGAAGACACGGAAGAGGAAGAGGAAGAAATTCAAAAGGAAGAGGAAGAAATAATTTTGAGAAAAGTGGAAATATAGTGTCCACTCAACAAAATTATGGAATTTACAAGAGAAGTAGCCATGTTGACAAAGATTGTTGGTTTCGGGGAAAACCTCAATGTTTCAATTACAAGAAATTGGGACATGTTCAAAAAGATTGTCAGTTGAAAACAAATTAGCAAGCTAATTTTTCTGAAGAGCAAAAAGGTGAAGCGAGCATGTTTTATGCTTGTCACACGACATCGGAACAAAAGAATGATGTGTGGTTTTTTGATAATGGGTGTAGTAACCATATGACCGGAGATAAAAATATATTCTTGGAGATTGATTCTTCATCAAATTCTCAAGTAAGGATGGGAAACGGTGCCTTGGTCCAAGCAAAGGGAAAGGGTACTATTGCCATAGAGACAAAAAAAGGAAGAAAGCATATTCGGGATGTGTTACTTGTTCCCGATTTGGAGCAAAATTTGTTAAGTGTTGGACAGCTTGTAGAGCATAGGTACTCCATTCATTTTGATGAGGATTTTTGCAAAATTTATGATAAGGGAGGACAAAATCATATTGTGGCAAAAATCAAAATGGGGAAAATAGAAGCTTTCCTCTCACTTTTTCATATTAAAAAAATATGGTCTTGAAGATGGATGTTGTGGACAAGTCATGGCTTTGGCTTAGAAGACTTGGGCATTCAAAGCTTAAAGAATTGACAACAAAATAACATGGTGTATGGGTTGCTAACAATCAAGAAATTAAAGAAGTTTGTGAAGGTTGTGCTCGTGGCAAACATTACCGAGAGTCATTTCTGAAAGAGAAAGCATGGAGGGCTAAAGCACCATTGGAGCTTGTTCATACCGATGTGTGTGGACCGGGGGTAACAAGTATTTTATTATTTTCATTGATGATTTTTCAAGAATGACATGAATTTCTTTCATGAGACAAAAATCAGATGTATTCTCCATTTTCAAAAAATTTCAAAAGCTTGCTGAAAGGCAAAGTGGCCATCTTATCAAAGCATTAAGAAGTGATAGAGGTGGAGAGTACAACTCAAATGAGTTTGAAAAGTTTTGTGAAGATATTAGCTTAGAGAGGCAATTAACGGTTGGGTACACTCCACAACAAAATGGAGTGGCAGAAAGAAAAAATATATAGAACAATTATTGAGATGAGAAAATCCATGCTTCATGAGAAGGGGCTACCTAAATCGTTTTGGGTGAAGCCGTGTATACGCTGTTTACTTGATGAATAGGAGTCCAACAAAAACGGTGGAGAATAAAACTCCATTTGAAGCATGGAGTGGAAGGAAGCCATCATTGAACCACTTGAAAGTTTTTGGGTGTATTTGTTTTGCTTATGTTCCAAGAGAAGTGAGGCACAAACTTGATGAAGCTAGTGAAAAATGCATCTTTATGGGTTATAGCTCAAAATCAAAGGGTTATAGACTCTTTAATTTGAAGAAGAATAAATTGATTATTTGTAGAAATGTTCTCCTTGATGAGAAGGCTGCTTGGGATTGGAAAGAGAAGAAAGTTTAAGATCAAATCTCCATTTTCAATGAAGAATCGGGAAATTAAGAAAATAAAAATGAAGATTTTCTTGAAGTTTCAGAAGAAATGTCTCCTGTATTTAGCTTACAATCATTCTCAACTTCTCCATCAAACTCAAATTCCTCATCTCCAAGTTCAACTCCAAGAAGAATGATAAGTTTTAGTGATGTGTATGCAAGTTGCAATTTTTGTGTTGTTAAACTGAAAAACTTTGAAGAAGCAATTAAACAAGAGGTATGGAAGAACGCTATGGAAGATAAAATTTATGTGATTGAGAAGAACAAGACTTAGGAGTTAGTAGAGAAGCCGGAAGACAAAGATGTGACTGGTGTGAAATGGATTTTTAAAACAAAATTCAATCCGGATGGCTCCATTCAAAAGAACAAAGCAAGACTTGTAGCAAAAGGGTATTCACAACAGCCCGAAATTGATTTTCAAGAAACTTTTTTACTCATGGCCCATCTTGACACAATTAGAGTACTCATTGCCTTGGCGGCTCAAAATGGTTGGTCCTTGTATCAATTTGATGTAAAATCAGCCTTCTTGAATGGTGTTTTGAAAGAGGATGTTTATGTAGAACAACCTCAAGGCTTTGTTGCAAAAGGAGAAGAAGAGAAAGTTTATAAATTAAAGAAGCTTTATATGGCCTAAAACAAGCACCCTTGACATGGTATAGTGATATTGATTCTTACTTCCTCAAAAAAGGCTTTCAAAGGAGCAAAAGTGAGCCAACCTTGTACTACAAGACACAAGGTAAAAGTGGAATTCTTATTGTTTCTCTTTATGTTGATGATTTGGTATTTACCGGTAGTGATGAAAAAATAATTGATGATTTCAAAAGAGAGATGATGAAAAAATATGAAATGAGTGATTTGGGTTTGTTGCATTACTTTTTGGTATTGAAATTTATCAAAAAGAAGGAGGAGTTTTTATTTGTCAAAAGAAGTATGCAAAAACTCTTCTTGAAAAATTCAAAATGTTGAATTGCAAATCTGTTTGCACTCCATTGGTTGTGAATGAAAAATTGATGAAAGAAGATGGAAATAAAGAAGCGGATTCATCTCTCTATAGAAGCTTGGTTGGAAGTCTATTATATTTGACATCTTCAAGACCCAACATCATGTATGCTACAAGCTTATTATCTCGGTTTATGCACAATCCAAGTCAAATTCATGTTGGGGCTGCAAAGAGGTTGTTGAGATATATACAAGGTACACTTGATTTTGGCATCTTGTATGATAAAAATGTTAATGCAAAGTTGTTTGGTTTTTGTGATAGTGATTGGGCCGGATGTGTTAATGATATGAGAAGTACTTCCGGTTATGCATTCTCTTTTGGTTCGGGTGTATTTTTATGGGCATCTAAAAAGCAAGAAATAGTGGCGCAATCTTCTGCCGAGGTTGAGTATATTTCAGCATCATTGGCAGTGTCACTAGTAATATGGCTAAGGAGAATTTTTGAAGATGTTGGTGAGAAGTAAAGAGAAGCTACTCCAATTTTATGTGACAACAAATCCGCAATTGCTATGACAAAGAATCCTATTTTCGATAGTCGCACAAGACACATTGCAATCAAGTATCACTTCATTAGAGAAGCTGTGGAGGATGAAGAGATTCAACTCAAGTATTGTAAGTCTGAAGACCAAGTTGTGGACATTTTTACCAAAGCACTTCTAAAAAATAAGTTTGAATACTTTAGAGAATTATTGGGTGTCACAACATGGCATTAAGGGAGGTGTGTTAAAAATAAATTAATGCCATGTTCATTATGCATTTTGGGTTTATTCATGTATCTGTTATTGTACATGTATCAAGCGGGTACATGTATTAAGTGTGTACCTGTATCAAGTGGGTGCATATATCAAGTATGTGGTCGTGAATTGTCTTGAAAAGTTCAAAGGTCTATGGGAGAATAGTATATATAGTGTAAGGAATTTGTTGTTAAGATATATCAATACAACAAAGAACTCAATACAATATAGAAAAATATTTGTTTCTTGATTCTTCTCATCTCTTCACTTAGAAATTATTTAGTTGGTTGAAACTATAACCAACACAGATTCTTCCCCTCTTTTATGGTGGGCAACTCCGTCAACGGCGGTAGCCCCACCAAATCAGAGGCGGTGAGCAACATGTTGGGCACGATGTGGAACCTCAAATTACGAAGGTAAAAATTGAAAATACAAGATTTGTGGGGGAAGCATCATCGAGAGCGAACAATGTCATATTGTGAAGGCCCACTACTTGATTGTACTCCACCTGCAACACTACACTCTGCCTGCCAAAACCGCCCGCTTGCAGACGCACCATCGCATCATTTAACATCATCGCCATGGATGAAAGGAATGTCTCTGGGTACTGCTCAATATTGGGTCGCGGCTGCGGATAAGGTACCAAAAACCACGAGCACTATCTGCATGGGACCATGAATCCTTCTGTGATTGAGATCGAGATCATGAAGAAAAAGACGGACGCTATTGAAACAGCTCTAGCCATGGTTATATGACTCTGATAAGCTTACTTATTCTCTATTATAGTTTGCTTTTAAGAACTCTTCCACTTTTGGTAACTGTTTGAATATATTCTATAATACGTTGTTAGAATATATTATCATTGTCATGTATATAACATTACCTTATATACTAGTCGTTATTCCCGACACTGGTATTACACCTCTAATACATATCAATACAATATAGAATTCTATACTCTCTCTTTCATATTTAAGAGTAACAAATATGTTCTCAATTCTACTTTTTATTTATTTTTTTACATGTATATTTATATATATGTACTAATATTAGTTCTATAAAGAGTTTCAAATCGATCATATGAGAATTTCATGTTGAAGATGCAAGAAATTCAATCACCTTTCTCTCTCTAGAATTCTTACACTTCAACAGAATGAAAACTAAAAAATCCTCCCTCCTCTCTATTCGTATTGCCTATTTATAGACCATTACAAATGCTCTAACCAACTTATTACATAGGGCTCTTATTCTTGGGCTCTCTTCCTTTTGGGCCTGATGGGCTGAGTTCAACTGTTCGGTTCGATCCTTCTTTCGTGGGTGTTGGGCTCATTATGCTACCCTTTTTGCTTGGGCTCGGACCTTCCATTCAACCTGATGATCTACTCGCGGGTCAGGTCTGGTCCAATCCATCTTTGACATCCTCAATTGCCCCCATAATTACCCCCTTATTTATTATCGGCGGCCAATCATGATTTTGATGGCTCAAGAAGATCTCGTGGGAAAATAGATGGTCAGATCTAAAACTGATGCTTCGAGATTCCAAAGAAACTCCTCGTTTTCCTGACGCTTCGACCTTCGGGCCCATTCTGTCCTTATAAGTATCAGAGACGTTCCCTTAATCCTTTTTTACTGTCTCCATCTTGTATCACTATTAGCCAAATCTTCGCTTGCTTTTTTTTTTTTTTTTTTAAATCAAATCAAATCTCCTCCGGCGAGCCTCTGCGAAAGCTCCTTTTCCCAGCGATCTTGCAGTACTCTTTGACATTTTCTCCCTCTGAGGTTAGTTTTGTTTGCCTTTTTCTTTTGGAAGATCTCTTTTTCTCCCTTAAATCCCCATTCATCTTCGCCATGCCTGTAGATCTAGATGTTCTTCGCATGAAACTTCATCTCCTTGTCGATATAGAAATTAGAAACTGCCCTAAAGATGTGGATATCAGGACTGGTGTTGGCCTTCTCCCCGGCAAAGTCTTGTTTACCCATCTTCAGTTGAATATCATTAGGTTCCCTTTGCATCCTTTCTTTAACTATGTTTTCAACAAACTAGGGATCTCTCCTCTGCAGGTAAATCCAAATTTTTTTAGGATCCTATCCGTTCTGCTACTATGACTCGTGACAGAGGTCTAAATCTTGATATCATAGATCTTCTTCTCTGTTATAAGGTTAGTAAGATCTGACTTAAGGAACCATTCTACCACCTCTATCCGATTGAAAAGATGTCCATATGTAAAGACACAATCGAGTCTGAAAAGGGTTGGAGAAACAACATAATAGGGGTTAGGGGGGCCTAGTCTTCCCAGCTGCAGAGGATTATCCAATCCCGAGCGCCTTTGGTGTGTGTTCTGTCTCTTCATATAAGAAATTCAAAACACATAAGAACGATTGTGCTTGCGAAATTTGTGTTCCTCGCTTTTGTACTTTCTTGTGCTGTTCTTTAGGCATTCCTTGTGATGACTTGAGCTACAGTGTTTACAGGGATAGGGATAATTACTTGAAGAAGTACATTCTGAACGACGTTCCTTCTTGCTCAGACCTCCTTACCTCAGACAACCTTCTCGTAATTTCAGCCCTCGGCAGCACAATGAGCCAACTCCAGATTCCTTCCTTCGGCAGGAGGAAAAACACTCCCCGAGTCACTGTTGCTGCTGCTGTGGCAACCTTTTCTCCTGCCTTGGCCTCTTCTTCGGCCACTATTTCTGGCACCATTCTGAACGTAGTGGCTGCTGATCCTGCCGTTAGCGTTCCTTCTACCAATCCGAACGCCTCTCCTCCGGTCAATACTACTTCTGCTGTTATTGTGGGTGCTCAGGATAAAGAGCGAGGCAAAAGGCCTTATCCCGATAGTGCAGCCAACCCTGATGACGTAACTCTTACAAGGAGGATCCGAATCTCTGGGCCGAGTACACTCTTGCATCACCCAGTCAGTTCTCCTGCCCCCTCTGGACCCGTTACAGTTGTTGCTTATGCTTCAGCTTCTGCTTCTGCCTCTGTTTCTGTAACAGCGTCATCAACTCCTCGATTTGTCCGAACGGATGGGACATTCGTGAAGCCGAACGAGACCATGTTCAAGGATGGTCAGACCGCTATGGCATATTACAGGAACATGTGGACTCCTAAGGACATTGAGGCAGCCAAAGGTCTGTCGCAGAAGGAGGTGTTCAGCCGCTTTCCCTTATCTGCCATGGAGGTAATTTTTATCTCTCAGTTTGCAAATCTTCACATAATCTTTATGCTTGACCTCTCCTGACCATGCGATCGATTTAACCAGTGTTCATGCATATCTCTGCAGACCTTGTTCGGTATGATAGCCATACAGAAGCAGGTGGAAATGGGGAACGCCAAGGCTCGTAAGTTCTCTGACAGCCTCGAGGTAGCCCATAAGGAAAATAATATCCTTGCCACCAAAAACACCGAGCTGTTGGTCAAGCTTGGCAAAGTTAAAAAAGAGAGCAACGCCCTGAAAAATGAAACTGACTCCCTTCAGGATGAAAAGGATGCCCTTCAACTTGAGAAGAGCGTTTGGCAAACAAGCAGAACTCCAGCGCCTTCTGGCTGATGGCCTTTGAGAAGAGAGCCCTAGATGAGTGTGATGCTTTGCTCAATACCATCAGTAAGGTGAACGGTGGCATGCTGGCTCTTCACGCTCGGTTTTCAAGGGTTGGGGCTCTCAGGTATGCTCAGAGGTACCGAGAGGGTTTCTCCGACCGTGTTCCTGCCGAAGGACAGACCGGTTCCACTCTGGACGAAGTTGATAAGGATCTAGAATTTGATCCTCCAGGAGTCTATGTTGATCCAGACTCCACTCCTGCTGAACACATTTTTGATGAGTGTCAGGAGATTGCTTCCTCCAGGGTCACTCTAGCTCCCTCTGTCGTTCAGCCTCTGGATGTTCTTCCTGTGTCCAATATGGTCCCTTCCTCAACTGCTACTAAGGTTGGGCCTCAACAGAACGACTCAGTTATTCATCTCGACTCCCCTCCTTATGAAGATGGGACGACCAATGATGGTGAAGAGACGAGTCAACGCAATCAGGAGGCTAACAGAACAAAGGCAGCTAGCTAGGACTCTTCTAATACTTTAATTTCCTGTTTCTTTATAATTATGTCATCTGTATATTTTATCTTTTGTAACCTCAAAACATATCATGAATGAGATGACAAAAACATTGACTTTATCTGTGCATGGGTGGTAACAACCAGCTTCACATTTATCTATAGCAAATGTTTGGCGTTCGGCTCATAGTGCCAGCCGCCACTTACTTTGCTCAATTGCCTGGCGCTCGGCTAGAATGCCACTTGGTACTTGGCTTTTTATTTCTTAGCAAGTGTTTGGCGTTCGACTCATAGTGCCAGTTGCCACTTACTTTGCTTAAGTGCCTGGCGCTCGGCTAGAATGCCACTTGCCACTTGGCTTTTTATTTCTTAGGAAGTGTTTGGCTTTCGGCTCATAGTGCCAGCTGCCACTTACTTTCCTTAAGTGCCTGGCGCTCAGCTAGAATGCCACTTGCCACTTGGCTTTTTATTTCTTAGCAAGTGTTTGGCGTTCGGTTCATAGTGCCAGCTGCCACTTACTTTGCTATTTTTACTTAATCAATCTCTTGAAGAGGAATATTACTTTTATAAATCTCAGAAACTTGTACACTTGCCTGTATTCAATTGAAAATGAACAGAATTCAAAATTGAAACTCAACTTTTTATTGATAATACCTCTTTAGAGACGTAGCATTCCAAAGCTTGTTAACCAGCCTTCCGGCCATGGTCTCTAAGGTATATACCCCCTTTCCTATAACTTCTGCAATTCTATATGGGCCTTCCCAAGGTGCCACCATTTTCTTAACCATTCTTACCTTCTTCTTTAGAACCAGATCACCTGGTGTAAAGTCTCTGTGCTTTACCTTTTTGTTATGGCTATTCATAAGTGTCTGCTGGTAGGATGCAAGCCTTACTGCCGCTGCATCTCTCTTTTCCTCCAGCATATCGAGGTTAAACCTCAACATACTGTCGTTATGCTCTCGGCTCCATGCCAAGCTTCGAACAGTCGGAACCAAGTATTCAACCGGTATGACTGCCTCGGTACTATACGCCATGGCGAATGGGCTTTCTCCGGTCGGTCGCCTTGGGGTCGTTCTATAAGCCCACAAGACGTTTGGCAGTTTATCTAACCATTTCCCCTTCTTCTCTTTAAGCTTCTTCTTGATGTAAGCAAAGATTATTCTATTTGTGATCTCTACTTGTCCATTGGCCTGGGGGTGACTTACTGCTGACAGCTTTTGATTAATTCCATATTCCTCCAACAACTCTCTTACTTGCTTGCTGTCAAGGTTGGTCCCATTATCCATGACGATTGACCTCGGAACACCAAAACGGCAAATAATATTACTCCAAATGAACCGTCTCACATGAGTCTAAGTCACGCTTGGATACGGCTTTGCTTCCACCCACTTAGTAAAGTAATCTGTAGCCAGCAGCACATACTTGTTCTGAGCTCTTGCAGTTGGCAGAGGTCCAACCACATCCATCCCCCATTGTGCGAAAGGCCATGGTGTGGCCGTTACGTGCAAGTCCTCAGGTGGTTGGTGGATCAGTGGGCCGAACCTTTGGCACCTATCGCACCTTCTGGATAATTCTTCCGCATCCCGTGACATGTTTGGCCAGAAGTACCCTTGTGTCATTGCTTTGTGCGCTAAAGACCTTCCCCCTGAATGGTTTCCACATACACCCTCATGAATAGCTCGTAGTATCTGCCGAGCCTCTGTGGGAGTGATGCACTTTAAGTACGGCCCAGAAAAAGAACTCCTGTATAACTGGTTATGCACTATGGCGTACTTTGCAGCATTCGATTTGATTTTCCTAGCCTCATCTCTTTGCTCAAGCAGAGTGTCATCCCGTATGTAAGTTATGATCGGATCAACCCAACTTGGCTCATATGGAATAACATTCACTTGCCAAGGAACTATGCCCGAAGGTTCTTCAAAAATGGATGGCTGGTTTAATATTCCTACTGGAATCACCCTTGCCAACGTTTCTCCAGAACCTGAGGCACTACATGCTAGCCAATCGGTATCTTCGTTATGCTCTCTTGGTAATTGGATGAATTCAATTTTCTGAAAGCCTTTGACCTCATGCAGAATGGCAGAACGATATGCTTCCATCATTTCGTCCTTGGTTTCGTACTCACCATTTACCTGCCGAACAATCAACTGTGAGTCACTAAAAGCAGTTAGGTTTTTGACCTTCAGCTCTTTGGTTAACTTTAATCCATTCAGTAACGCCTCGTATTCTGCTTCATTATTAGTGGCTCGGAACTCAAGTCTGAACGATTGACTCAAAGATGTGCCCTCTAGCGTTTGCAATTTGATCCCGATGCCTGCCCCCATCTGATTGGAAGAGCCATCTACATAAAGTTTCCATGAGCAACGTCTAAGGTCTTCTTCCGTATCTTCTGAATCACACTCCAGTAAAAAATCAGCTACTGCTTGTCCTTTGACAACTGTTCTGGGCTCGTATGTTATGTCAAATGAGCTTAACTTTATGGCCCATTTCGTCATTCTCCCAGAGAGATCTGGTTTGTGGATGAGTACTCTGATTGAAAAGTTGTCAGAACGACTATAGGATGGGACTCGAAATAATGCCTCAACCTTCTCTTTGCATTGACGAGTGAAAGTATCACTCGTTCGGCTTTTGAATATCTTCGTTCAGCCTCGGTCATTGTTTTACTAACATAAAACACTGGGTATTGCACTCCTTCCTTACAGAGAATCAGAACGGCACTCGTCGCAACACTGGATACTCCAAGATATAAAAATAACTTTTCTCCCGGATTCAGAGCTGACAAGACTGGTGGATTCTGCATATATTACTTTATATGAGTCAGTGCTTGTCGTTGTTCATCCCCCCAAACCTATTTTCCATGACTCCGTATTGTGTCAAAAAATGGCTTGCAGCGATCTGACAGTTTAGAGATGAACCGGCTTAGTACAGCTATTCGACCCGTGAGGGCTTGTACTTCTTTGATTGTCTTCGGTTCCGCATTTTTGGTCAGAGCTTCTGCTTGAGTTGGGCTAGCTTCTATTCCTCTGTGATGAACCACATGTCCCAGGAATTGTCCAGAGCTTACGCCAAATGAACACTTGGTTGGATTAAGCCTCATTCCATACCTTCTCAGCACATCAAACACATCTTAAAGGTGCTTCAGATGGTCAACTTTGCTCTTAATTTTCACCACCATGTCATCAATGTAGGCTTCCACGGTCTTCCCTATTTGATCCTTAAAAATTTTGCTGATAAGCCTTTGATAAGTTGCTCCGACATTTTTCAGTCTGAAAGGCATAACTTTGTAGCAATAAGTCCCTCGCTCGGTAACGAAAGAAGTTTTTTCTTCATCTGCAGGGTCCATGGGGATTTGATTATAACCTGAGTAAGCATCCAGGAAGGTTAAACGCTCGTATCCTGTGGTGGCATCTACCATTTGATCAATCTTTGGCAGCGAGAAGTTATCCTTCGGACAGGCTTTATTTAAATTGGTGAAGTCAATGCACACTCGCCACTTCCCATTCTTCTTCTGCACAACAGTAACGTTTGACAACCAATCGGGACAGTGCACTTCTCTTATGAATCCCACATCAAGTAGCCTATCAATCTCCTCGGCTATGATCTGGTTACGCTCTGGTGCAAACCTTCGTTGCTTCTGCTTTACAGGTTTGACATTGGGATTGACGTTCAATGAATGACAGGATACCGAATGACTAATTCCAGGCATGTCTAGGTGACTCCATGCAAAAACATCGACATTAATAGACAAGAAATCAATTAATTCCTGCTTCTCCCCCTCGGTAAGTCTTATTCCCACTTTGGTGGTTCACTCTGGCTCAGACCGGTTGATCTGCACATCAACCAGGGGTTCTTTAGTCAAGTCCACTGGCTCCTCTTCCCTATTCTGCATGGGGGGAGGTTATTGTAATTGCTATCTAGGGCTTGCCGAATAGATGGGTGCTTTCCCTTTTTCAGCATACTTCAGCGTTACTGAATAACATTTCTTAGCTGCAACCTGGTCCGTAAGAATGTCGATCACCTTGGCTCCATCTGGCCCCAGGCATCTCATTACTTGATGCAGAGTGGAAGTAACACCTTGAACTCTGTGGATCCACCCTCTGCCCATCAGAAGGTTGTAAGAGGGATGAATCTCGACAACCACAAAGGTCTCCATCAGAACCCTCTCTGCAGCATGTACTGCTACCTCTACCGTTCCGATGGGCTCCACTTGTTTTCCATCAAACCCTAGTAAAGGATTCCCAGTGGATTTGAGCCGATCCGGCTTGATCTCGAGCAGATCAAATGTGTCCCTCGGCATGACGTTCGCACTACTTCCAGGATCAATCAGAAGTCTGCGTACCAAACATTCAGCCACTGTCAAACTGATGACCAGCGGGTCCTCATGAGGGATCTGAACACGCAATAGATCTGTTCTGTTAAACTTTATCTGTGTTGATGCATTCTGTTGGTGTAGAAGGTTTACACTGCCTATCCTCCTCTTCATCTGTGCCTGGCGAAGGCGTGTTCGAAGCAGTTCATCGGACTCCTCAATAGGCTCAGGCTTACCGTGAATTGCATTGATTATTCGAACCGGTTGCGTATTGTGAGAGTTCGACTTCTGATTCCTCTTCACGTGCTCCATTAGTCGGTTCTGTTCCACCGTCGGGCCTTGAATATAACTCGCGAACTCCCCTCTGGCTATTAGCATCTCTACCTATCTCCTTAAATTCCTGTATTCATTAGTCTGATGGCCAAAGTCAGAATGAAAGGCACAATGCTTAGACTGATCCCTTTGTTCAAGGGGTTGTCTGATTGGTAAAGGAGATCAGAACTTATCTTTATTTTCCTGGTACAGCCTTACTAAGGTAACTTTTAATGGAGTAACTAGCTCTTCCTCCCTGGGCCTCTTCTTAGATTCCCACGAGGTCTAACGTTGTGGCTAAACCTGCTTTTGTCTGATCTTTGCTTTGGTTTTTTCCTCTGTTGATATGACGGATGTCTTCCGAGCGTTGGCTGCCTCTTCTTCTTCCAAGCGCACAAATCCATCAGCTCTTTCATTAAGTTCATCCATAGTCTTCGGCGTGTTCACTACCAAGCTTGTGTGGAATGGAGTGCCACGAGTCATGGCCAGTATAAACGCTTGAACCACCGTAGAAGGGTGACATTCAATCACCATACTCTTTGTAAGGTTAAACCTGGTTAGGAAAGCTTGGAGACGCTCATCCTCATGCTGCTTCATTGTGAATAGGCTCGAGATATCCTTTGTTGGACGCTTATTTTCATAATATTGGCTTATGAACCGATCACACAAGCTTCGGAAGCTATCCACTGAGCCCCTCGGCAGGTTCTTGAACCAATTGAGCGCTGGTCCAGCTAGACTCGTAGGGAAGCACTTGCATATCAAGGAATCATTCTCAGTGTTTAGAGCCATTTTCAATTGGATGTGATACACATGATCAATCGGATCGGTCGTTTCGTCAAACAGAATGAAAACGGGCATGGAAAATTTCCTCGGACTCAGAGCATTCAGAATTTCATCGGTGAACGGTGAATCAACCATTCGAGTTGCTGAACGGAAGGCTTCATTTTCCCTTTGGAACCATTCGATTGCTCTCTGATCTACAGATCTCTTCTCAAAGCTGCGATAGTCGAACGTCGTCATGGAAGGCCGATAAGTTGGATCAAATGATCTGTCCTCAACAAACTCTTTGTGCCACGGCGGTATAGCTTTGTGACGATCAAACTCTATTACCTCTCCTCGGCTGAGTGTTCTTGATGTGGATCGGAAGTCATGGCTTCGTTTTGCCTGATCTATTTACGCCGTGGATCTATATGAGTTGATCCTTCACGATCATCAACACGACGAAGATTCGGCGGCAAATCGTTTGGCCGGACCTCCTCGCGGTGAAGATTTGTCTGATTGTTCCCTACCTCCTCGCCGTGATGTGCCGCATCGGTACGTGCAACTTCTTCTCCGGCCAGAAGCGGTCGCGGCATCACCGGAGCTTCGTGACGCTGCATTTCAGTCCTTAGGTCGGCATTCTCTCTTCTGAGAGCTTCGATCATGCTCATCAACGCATCAAGTTTCCTTTGCTGGACATTTTCTACCGCGTTGGAGTTCTCACCCACAGTCATCATTCCAGAACAGAGCAAAGGCATGAATCGCAAACTCTAAGTTAGATCTGAGTCTCGCCGACGCAAATCACGTCAGATCTGAACTTAAATTTTACGAGTTCTGTTCGCCTTTCAATAGATCAGAGCTTTTCCGGCATCTGAGCTTGCCGGATCGAGCCACAATAAAATGAATCATAGCTGCGTAAACCTAACGCCAATTCCTCAGAATCAATCAAGAATCCAGAATCTCTCAAGAGCAAACCGCAATCTCTTAGATCTGGACTAAACTGCTAGAAATCAAGCTTCGTCGTCATCAATCAATCTGAAACAACATGACGTTAATCAGATAAGAATCAACCTTCAACGTTTCCCACAGACGGCGCCAATTGAAGATGCAAGAAATTTAATCACCTTTCTCTCTCTATAATTCTTAGACTTCAACAGAATGAAAACTCAAAAATCCTCCCTCCTCTTTATTCGTATTGCCTATTTATAGACCATTACAAATGCTCTAACCAACTTATTACATAGGGCTCTTATTCTTGGGCTCTCTTCCTTTTGGGCCTGATGGGCTGAGTTCAACTGTTCGGTCCGATCCTTCTTTCGTGGGTGTTGGGCTCATTATGCTACCTTTTTTGCTTGGGCTCGGACCTTCCATTCAACCTGATGATCTACTAGTGGGTCGGGTCTGGTCCAATCCATCTTTGACATCCTCACATGTTATATCTATAATGAGTTTCAAATCCTTTCTTATTCTAATACTCTTAAATTTTGGTATAACCTAAATAACTATAAATTCAAATAAATTAATTTTTAAAAATTGGGAACATTTTTGTTACCAATAAAAAATTATTGCCCACTCTCGGACTAACATAAACTCCCTCCCACTCCATGCCTAACGCATTGAATAGTTGAAGAGGATTATCCTTCAAAACATTGAGTAGTTGAAGAGAATTATCCTTCAATACATAGATTAAATGATATATTTTTGTGAAAAAATGGAGGGAAGATGTGGGAGGAAGCACATGCCCCTTTGGCTTGTTTTTATTATTTCTTGTCAAATGATCGACATGATCCGGACACTAATATAGTACTATGTATATTTTACACATTACCTAATAAATAATAATTAAAATAATAAAAAAATTAATTTGAATGTGTCAGTGTCGATTATTTGGAGACAAGTTGTTCATATTTATCTGATATGGGTGTGGATTGGCTTTTTATTGCTTATAAAAGTCTGAATATTTTTCAACACAAGGCCAATCCTAAAAGAATTCAAATTAAAAAATGTTTAAATAGAGTTGGAGATAATTTTAAAAAATTTAAATAGATTTCAACACAAGCTAATCCCACGATTCTATGTATTATTCACTAAATATTTCTGTAACACTAAAAAAAAAAAGTAACCGTGGAACCAAATCGATTTTTCATGGTTTGGTTTGATTCCTTTGGTCAAATGGTTCAGTTTGATTCAAGAATTTTTGAAATCATTAGAATCGGATTGGTTCCAAAAAATTCTCAAACCGAACCGACTCCATTACTTTTATTTTTTATTGATTTTTTTTTTTTTGGTAAATAATTCAAAACCAAATAAAAAGATGTGCGATGTGAGGACTTTTCAAGGGTCACTCATTCTAGTTCTATTCCTTTATTGTTATTGGGGTAAAATGCAAAAAATCCCCCTGAACTATGGGGAAAACTGCAACCAACTCCCTGAACTACTAAAAATGCAAGAAACCTCCTGAACTATGCAAAAATGTTGCAAATCACCCCCTTTGGCTGCCGGCCATCCAAAAATGAGCACGTGAGATTCACGCGACAGAGAAACTGAATTTTTTGGACAATAATGCCCTTCCATATATGAAAATATCAAATTATCCTATAGCCACCAACCACCACCACCGTCTGCGACCACTACCACCACCGTCTGCGACCCCAATCGAACAAGTACAACTGCCACCACCCCAATCCTGCCACCACCATCACCCAGAGATACACACAGACATATACATATATATATATGCACGTGTATATATATATATATATATATATATATATATATATATATATATATTATACACAACACCACCAACATTGGCGAGTACGTCGGCCCAAGAGACGATAACGGGGCAGGCGCAGGAGACGACGGCAGCGATGACGATGATTTGGGCTATTCTAATTTTCTTGTTCGATCTCGAAGTCCACCGCCAAAGCTCGAATCTCCCTCCCAACATTCTCGCCGACGATTTGGGTTTCACAAATCCCTCTATGCAACTCCAATTCCTAAACATTCTCTCATTATATATGTGTATGTATATTTGGCTTTCCCAAATCAAGCGCTGCAGTGGTAAAATTCCCTTTCTTGATTACTCTAATTGAGTTCAATTAGAGTAAATTTATAACCTACCCGCACACCGAACACCACGTCTCTTCTCTTTGTCGTTTCTCACACTCTCACTCTCTATCTATACACACACACACACATATATATATATATATCGTATCTCAGTCCTCATTGAACCTCTCTCTCACTATTTATATATACACACACACATCCATCTCTGTAACTTATTCGACCAAAAAAATTTGGGTTTCACAGATCTCTCTATGCAACTCCAATTCCCAATCTCCCTCTCAATATTCTTTCACTGTATATACATATGTATATTTGGCTTCCCCAAATCAAGCACCGCAGTCCATGGTGAGTCGAAAACAGGTGAGGGTAGCCGATCTGCGTCGTCGGTGGTGGCGTCGTTCGCTTGACTCTGACCTTATTGCTTTGAGCGACAACAATTTCTTCATTGTTAATTTGATCATCAACGTTGGTGCAGGAGACCGGTCTAATTTGATCATCAGCGTTGGTGCAGGAGACGAAGGCTGGTGTAAAACAGAAGAGAGAGAGAAAAAAAAAGTCTCATCTCTTGGGTGAGTTGTCATAAGGGCAAATTAGACTTTTTATTTTTCCGGTTAAGTCGGTTGTCGGAATGGACCGAAATGTAACAAATTCATAGTTTAGGGTTTTTTTTTATTTATAATTTAGGGGATTTGTTGCAATTTGTCCATAGTTCAGGGAAATTTTTTACATTTTACCCTTGTTATTATTGTTAGTTAGAAACTAAAATCTTTTAATTTTTTATTTATTTATTTTGCTTCCGTTTTTTGAGGTGATAAAGTTAAATCACTTATTAGTTATTAAAGCCCCTTCTAGTAAATACTACATTTCTATTAAATTAACTTAAATTTATTAGTTAATAATTTTGTGCAATGATAGAAAAGTTCACTTTGCTTATAACAATCAGATCTCTATTGAATTCAGTATCGGAATATGTTTTTAAATCATTAAACAGTTGGCTCTTGATTATTGACTGCATACTTACTCCACCATCTAATTCTTTGTCAAATAATATTACAAGAAGTGTGAGATATCAGTGTGTATGTGGATGGAGAAATTAATGTTGAATTATTTGATAAACGAATGAATTTCGCTATTTTTGTTCATTAATAATATGAGAATATATATACAATACAATAAGTAATTTAGATCTTAAATTAGAGTACTTGCCTATTTACATTCCTATATAAATGGAAATG